TCCCAGGGGGAGAGGCACTATTTAATGCTAAGTGCCAATTACTAGCACTCCAAGGTGAGCAGGCCAAGGTAGCCCACATGCTGTCTGCACCTTCTCTACAGCGCGAGACAAGCCTGCAGCCCCCTGACCAGACACTCATCTCCGTCTGTCACTCACGCCCTCCCACCCATCTCCCCTTCGTCCACCCATCTCCCCTTCGTCCACCCATCTCCCCTCCGTCCAGCCATCACTTCTGTGCATACCTTGCTAAAACAAATTCAACTTTCCCTCGTGCCATTTGCCTGTTCCTACCTTTCACATCCTTCTTCCCTACAGGTTGGACTCTCTGTCTTCCTCCTTCTCTCCCTCTCTCTGTCTCCGATGATTTGATTAAGATGGAGGTGTTCGCCGACATGCGTGGCAGCGATGCTGCGGTTGAACTGTGCACACTTGTTAGTACATATCTGCCGGAGTCTTTGTTAGTCCTACTGCAGCCCGCCAGTGTGTACATTTTAGAGGTTCTGAAGTGAGGTATGAAAAGGAAGTTTCTTTTCCGTCTGTGCGTGTGTGATACCCCTCGTGTGCCTCCCCCTGGTGATTGAATCAAAAGGGCCCTCATCTCCCAGTGAAGCTCATTCAAAAACAACAGCGATGATTGACACATGCCGTAGGGGCTGCAGGCACAAACACACACATGCAAAATAGGAAACGCATAAAAAAAAAAAAAATCTAAGATCTGTCACGGCGAGGTAAAACAGCATGTCTTTAAGTAAGATCTTGACTTTGCATGCATAAGGTATTCACATTTGTGTACACTCATGGGAGGGGGGGGGCATACTGTTAGAAGGTATGACATTGGCGAATTGCAGCAGTGGGATCTACGTCTCACTCGGCTCCGTGTCGCATTTGTTTCCTGTTTCTGTGCAGACAAGATATGACCGTGTTCAAGGAAAATTAGAAGCCTTATCCCCCTGGTAATGGAACAATATTGTGAGCATGAATGCACACACACATATACACATATACACAGTGTATTACCAGAGAGAAAAGACAACAGAGCAGGCAACAGTGTGTGGGCGTGTCATGAAACCGGGACTGAAATATTTCATCTGCTCCACTAAGAGAACAGGAAGATGAAACAGCTGAATATGTGTTTGTCGACAAGTCTGAGACAACTTAAAGTCTATAATGAAAGGCTTGGGTAATTTAAAACAACAGTTGACTATTGTTTAACCTTTATGTGTTAGACTACTATAACAACTGCAAGTGGCTTTCTTTGGATTTTTTCTTTTTTTCCTCAGCCGTTTTTCTCTCGCCGCCGCTGCTAACTTTAGTGCTAACATCACTATTATGTCAAACTGCAATAATTGAAGATGTGGGTGTAGAGCAGAACAATGGCGCCTGCAGAGTAGGTGGCAAGCAGTCACTGAAATACATACAGTACAAGCAAAAAAAAATCTGGCAGAAAGTAGAGGGTGAGAGTGAGAGAGGGAATTTGCTGAGCTATTAAGTGATGCATTAATAGCGTGATCGAGCTGTAAAGATGAGCTTGGCGTCCTGGGAAATCCCCCTAGGTGTGTAGCCTACAACAGCATCACTAACGGACAGTTCAAGCCCACATGGTACACACAGTGCTAACATTAAGTTTTATCCAAAACAAGGTAGTTTAAAATTCATGGTATCCAAGCTGGGAGCTGGTTCTCTCAGAGAAGACTCAGCCTTGTTCTCATGGAGTCACAAGTGCTTCTGCCTATGAGGAACACTGTGTTCCAGGTAATAATACACTAAGAAAAAATAGTCTGCATTTTTATGAGGAATGGCTGATAATTCTTTCCTTTTAATTTACTTTGGGTCCAAAATTAAATTTTGACTGACATGGGGAACATTGGATGTTATATTCCCTGACTTTAGTGCATGGTCTGATACTTTCTTTTCACTTTATTGGAATAAAATACCAATAAAGTTAATAAATGGTAACGAATAAGCGGATAAAAGTGGATGGATGGATGGATGGATGGATCTATAAACCCTTGCCTACAAGGATCAAGCATTTGGTGGATGCTAATTCTATTCTTTTTGTGCCACTTCAGGCACATTGGGCATAACTTAGTCTCAGGCACAAACTTGACATTATTTATTGGGAAACGTATATAAAAGAATGTACTTTCTGAGTCATCACTTCAACCACTGCATACCACTTTGAGAAGTTACATTTTTCTTGAAGCGGCATGTCTAGAACTAGTATTAAAAGATCGGAATGCTAATGGACTCATTCTTCAGAGAAAGCTTTTGTTCATTTAAAAGTAACCTCTAAGTATCACAATATATGAATAAAAATTCTGTATGTTATTTAGAAGACTGATTGAAGGGGAGAAAAATGCAGAAACAAAGAATCATGGTTTTCCTAACTTCAATCCTATGTCTAGATATGTAAGGGTAACTTTCTAAAGTTAACTACTCAGAACTCGGTGCAGAGAAGGAGGCAGCCCACGAAGACGGAGCACAGTCTTTGTACTAAGCAGGGGTTTCCCTCCACTAAGAAATCTGACGTGAAAGTAGTGAGAGAGGCATGGGTGCATGGAGTTTCTTACCACGATGCCTTCAGACACTCAGAACTTATCTCAAAATAATGAAGACTTTGTCACATTTGCCGGTGAGACCTGGTAGTAAAAGAATTATATTTCAGCATCCTTAAAAATCTGGCATTAAAAAAAAGAGAAGAGATTTGAAACAGAGCATCAGTTAGAGACTTTCTGTAGTGAACACCCAGAAGAGAGAAGTGGAGCAAAGGGTGGTGATAAATTCAGGCAAGAGACAAAGTATTTCAGATTCTTCTAGCGTAGTAAATTTGTGAAATTGCACTGTGATGATGTACTACGTTACCCATTATTATGTACATCTGTTCTTCATATTTAACGCTCTTTTCAAATGCAAGAATTCTGTTAAAACGACATGGTGCTCAACACAGGAAATTCCAATGTGCTATTGTTGAAATAATTCGGTTAAGATCTATCTTTTGAGTTTGGCCTCGGAGTATTTCAAGGAGCAGCATATTGAAACAGCATTGTGTCAAAATGAAGTTGTACCATTGCATTGTGGATACTTGTATAACTTGAATTCTAGCATCTTGACGTCTTGAGATGGTATGCAGTAGATTATTGACGATTGTTGACTGATTACTGATTTATTTTTTTGTTTTGTTTCACCTGGCTTATTCCATGGTAGGGGTGTTAAATGATAGGTGTAACTTAATACTCCAATACTCCTAATACAGTATTTCAGAAATAGCCAGGCCAGGCAGTAGAGGTTTGACACCTTTTAGCCCAGCACAGTCAGATTTATGATTTTTGCAATTTTCTGGAAGTGGTTTATTCCAGTGTGGATGCATCACCCTGAACTCAGGAAGGTAGGAGTCGTAAAGATGTGGTCACTTTTTCATTAGAGCTGCCAGGTGTGGGCACTGATGTGAGTCTCCTGCAGTAAATATTAGTAGCATGAATGTTCTTTCTTTTAAAAAAAAACAAGGCAGATACTTAATTATATCTCATTATTATTTAAAAAATACCTTGTTAATTGTAATTTTAAAAAAGTAGTTCCACAAAAAGACTTTGAATAGAATGGACAATATTGACATGTGGGAGTATACTGTCTCTCCTAGAGGTCTTTCTCAGTCGTCTCATTCCTGGAGAACATAGAATGTGCTGAGGACCGTCACTTTTCTGCTAAGGGTCAGCTCCTCTGGGTAAACCCTTTTTCCACCCTCCACTAGTCTGCAGAGACTAAGAGGCCACGGATGATAGGGGCTTTTGACTTTGACAATCCCATTACAGGATAATTGTCAGAATATGACAAAGCAAAGCAAACATGCAGCAGAAGGGCTGGTGGAAAGGGTTAGTGAGCGGGAGAATTGGGTAGGAGTCGACAGACAGAGAGAGCCACACAGGGGAAACAGAGGGAAGCAAAGGCTTCCCCTGTCACCATCTGTCTTGTGGAGAGCATAAATCCCGCTATCTGTGTCATGCATACTGTACTGCTGCTCCCACTGCATCAGAGATCATCAACACACACGCACGCGCACAAACAAACACACACCAAAGCACAGGCACAGACGGACACGACACACATAATGTCTTCCGCCGCCTCGTAGCTCAAGCTGTCGACGTCTGTTTCTCCACTCTTTTACTCTCGTGTCCACATGAGCGCCGTCGACGCCACAATAGACACAAACAAACACGGAGCCGCATGTACACCGTCGTGTGACGCACATGGACACGCAGAGTCAGTTACTGTTGTGGTCATTCTTTTAGTTTGTTGTTCTTCATCCCACCTTTTCTTCTACTTGTTGTTTTGGCTCTTGTTCTTATCTTCTCTCACCTCATCAGCCGTACCATAATCTCCTAAGTCTTTTCACTCTGTTTTTTCTTTTACTTCCTCCTCCTCCTCCCCCTGCCAGTATCTTCTTATTCATTCCTTCACCCATCATCCCCCACCTACACCTCCTTTGCTCTCTGTTCACCACTCTCTGCATTCAGCTAATACAAGGCTTGCTAAATGCCTACAGGGTGAGTCTGTTTCCTCTTTAACCTGCCTTCAGTTGTATTGAAATGGGAAGCATGGCTTAATCCTTCCCTTTCACTTTACCTCTCTCCCTCCCATTTTCTTCCTCCTTTTTGTGTTCCGTGCAATTTATTGCCTTTTTCCCTATTCGGATCTCGTCTTTATACTTGCTTTTATTTATGCATTTTCTCCTTCACTTCCCTTTGTGTTATAATCTTTTTCTTTTTTCTAAAAATCCTCTCTTCTTTTGCCTTCACACCGATCCTTCCCCTCTTCCGTCCCTGACCATCAATTTCTCCCACTTTTTTTTTGCTCACCCCTCCTCTTCTTTGTCACGCCTTTAAATCCTACCCTCCTTGTCTTTCTTTTTTATTTCTTATCCTTTTCTTCTTGTTTATATTCACTTAATCTCGCCTTCTCTCTCTCTCTCTTTCTGCACTCTCTCTCACTTCCGCTTGCAACAGTAGATCGGACCGATTTGCATTCAGCACCATAGACAGCTCCCACACGGAAATCACAGAATCGCAGTGCCACCTTTTGGCCACCACTGGGACCACTTCACGTACATGATTGTTGGGGAGGTAAGTATTTTTTGACGCCTAACAAAAGGGCAGATATCTTCCAGATACTCATACATATGTGAATAAATTCAGGAAAAAAAAACAACAACAACAGACGGATAGAGCTTGTTTTTTAAAAAAATCAGCTTTGGGGAAATGAGTCTCAGTACGACGAGGCAGAGGACTAGCGGTGAGATCTATGAGACAGGTTAAGCTGGCAGACCTTGGGGTAATGGCAACCATATATTTCCCTCTAGTTTCATCCCACTACATGTCGGTACTCATAGATCCGGAGCAACTGCAAGGAGGTTAGAGCCAGAATGGGTATCTCAAGTCTCATTCTGTTCATGGCACCCAAAGGCAGGAAACAATAGCATCTGCTCTCCTCTGAGACTGGGAATTTAATCACCAGCACGACCAAGGTAAGATTTGAATGCAAAATAGCAAAGTGATGGTGTGTGTGTGTCTGTGTGTCTGTGTGTGTGTGTGTCTGTGTGTGTGTGACTGGTATGTGCGGAAACGTGTCCATAAAGGGAAATAAACACGATATGTTGGCATTTAAACTAATAGCAAATGTCAACAAGAAAATGTGAATGGTACTTGATGTGTGGAACTGTGGGAGACATGACAATTAAGTTCTGTCTGTGTGTGTGTGTGTGTGTGTGTGTGTGAATGTGAGAGGAGGAGAGCAGGAGGAGGAGCAGGAGGGAGGAAAGGAGGGAGTGAGAGGAAAAATACACTCAATCATGTGCGCTTTCAGAAACACACACACACGCAGGGCCCTCATCCTCTTTACAGATTACCCATGATCCATGTCTGAACCCACACTGGGCTGCATTGCCTTTGTCTCAGTGTCCCATTTATCTGGGCAGCTTGTCTGGTGCGTGCACACAGTATGCATCACTGGAAAAGCAGGAAAGAGACAGGAAAAGGAGAAGGGAGTGAGAGAAATCAAAGTGGCACGGCGGCAAATGTGATATTTGCAATCGTGCATCCTGTCTCCGTCCCACCCTCGCTCGCCCACGCTGAGTGTTTAACACAATGATCACAGAAAGGTGATCTCAGAGCTCAGCCAGTCAGAACATAGGGAGCTCATTGAGAATCACAAGAAAACCACATATACTGCAGAAGGGTGTTTGGGAAAACAAAGCTGGTTTTTTTTTTTTTTTTTTTGTTTTTTTTTTCAAATGAGCCATTTATTCCTGAGAGCATGATAACAAATACACAAACATGAGCGGCCTTTTAAAATGTCACATAATTCAAACTTGGAGGGGACCGCTTTCTCCCTCCATACGACTGAATGCACCCCTTAAGGCAACAATTTGTTTCTCATTGATTGCAACAGTTGACTTTCACTTTAAAGGTATCACTGTTTGCCAAGACACATGAAGAGAATCAAAGCAGTGCAGGCTTTTAACCCGAATGAGCGCAGTAAATTACAAAGTAGGACTGACAAAGTAAAGAGCCAGTTGTTTGAAAATGTTTGTCAGTGTCTCTTCAAACATAAAGACTTTGAAGTTTAGTTAAGTCTCATAGTTTCCTAACTCAGTTTTAGTGGCATATTGTATATTGTATCCCTTGATACATGTGTTGGCAAAAAAATATCGGTATGGCTGAAGTAACGCCATGCAGGTACATTTTTGGGACAGGGATTTTCTATGGCCGACATCGTAGCCTCCCTTCAAACTTTGCCTCCAGTTGGCGCCGTTGCTGCGGTCATTGAGATACATGCGGTTTTTGGGGTTACTTCAGTTGCTGTTGTTATGAAGTGCCGTCCCTCCGTTCATTACAATAGTATGGTTGTTGCAACAGTGCCATCCGCGCATGGTTTCAATGTCGGCATCATTAGGATCAGTCTGGTCAGTGCAGTTCGTGTGATCCCCACGGTCCTTGTGGTAAACAGTGTTGTTGTGTTGGTGCAATCAGTGCAGCCTGTGTGGTCGCAGTGGTTTTTTGCAGCAGTGTGTGAAGTGAGGTAGGTGTGGTCACTGGGTTTGGCATCTGAGCTGTATCAAAAGACAATTTAAGTCTGCCCTTGGGTTAGAGCGGTCCTTCATGAACACCCCCTCCAGTGGGAATGAGCTCTAAACTCACCACTGCCCCCTAGCAAATGATTTGTTCAGCGGTCATGCCAAACTAGAGGCACTAGAGGGAGAATGTAGCAGTGACATCTGAAACAGAAATAAGACTTTAGAGCGGGCGTGCCCAATATGTAGATCGCAGTCTACCACTGGACCATTTGTAGTGGCTGCAGGTCCTGAGATTTTGAACAAATGTGCTGACCATATGGATATTGAATCATTTGGTGCCAAACAACTATATGCATTTAATCGAAGTAACCCCCCATACAATGTACTGTACGTATACATAAAGTATTTTCAGTTTATATGGGCAAATACATGAAATGTATTCTATGTAGGCAGATCTTTTCGGCCTGGTCATTTTTAAAAAAAAACAAAACAAAACACCCTAGACCAAAGTGGGTGCAGTCTAGACCAAAGTGGGTGCAGCCCTGCGTTGTCTACCGTCCTGCCTGCAGTCGCCTTGCGTTGTCTACCGTCCTGCCTGCAGTCCAGATGTGTTAAACATACCTACAGTTTGAAGCAGAGACTGAAAACTGCAGAGTCAATGTAGTGCCGAGCTGCTTCCCTTTTATAAACTGCAGGAATCGGCAAAGATCCACTTTAAAACTGCAATAATTAGCATTCCCAGTTCCCAGTAGATTAAATCTGTAATTATAGAAGAGAAGACGTGACTAAGTAAACTGAACTAAAAATCCGTCTGAACTTTATTGTGCGTCGGAGGAAGTCATCTTCTGAAATACTTTACATTTGAAAAACGAACTGCGTTGTTGGACAGAGAAAACACACAGTTGGTTCTTTTTCCTTTTGCCCAGTGAGAGATGTTGTATGTTTTTGATTTAATTAGTGCCACGTTAACCAGGATTGGCTACAAGGTACCATTAGAAGTATGCTTAATTGCACGTAATATCTTAAAATCAATGCTTTAATCACTACAAAACACTCATTAGGAAACGTAAGCAAACGCTTACATGAGGTCTGTAACGTGGAAGTCAAACGAGCCTGTGAACACGATAACACACAAACAGGAATTCATTAAAATTCCACACAGCCCGTGGTGAGCTGGAAGCTGTGCCGAAATCAAAAGAGGGAGGCTGATGTGGCATGATTTAATTACGGCGAGGAATTTTTTGCAGGTTAAGTAATATTATTTCTTATCAAATAATTATCGATGAAATGGAATCTCAAAACTGCGGATAATGTGATGGTAAAGCTGGAGGCTGGCTGCACTCGGGACCAGTGTGTGTTCGTTTATTTGTTGGAATTTGAACAGGCGGTGCATCAAATTAAAAATGTAGGTGTTGTTTCAGGTTGGATTACAACTTTTTTTTATTTATTTTTTTTTTATCACTTTTCTCACTGACAGGGTGGGGAGAAAAAAAAAATCCAACAGGCAGACGCGGTGAGCAAATCAGCAGGAGAGAAAGAAGAAAAAGGCTCTAAAGATCCATTCAGCCACCTGAAAATACAACTTACACGCTGGGTTACAGCTGTGCACAGCCAGACACACTGCGAGGGCAGAAAACATGGAGGTTGGTACACACTCACACACACACACACACACACGCACACACACACATTTACAAACACACAGCCTGACCACCCATCACTGCCCTCTGATTACCGCCAGCTTCCACCACCGCCTTCACTCCTCCTCTCGCTCCACTGATCCTCCCTCCTTTCTGTGCTCCCACACATCCATCGCATCACACACTCACGCTACATCCACCTTTCACTCCCACCATCCTCCTCCACCCAAACTTCATCCCTTTGTCACTGATGCATTCCTGTCTCATTTACTTTCTGCCCGTACCTGCTGCCTGCTAACTTTCCCCTCTGGCACATCAACATATTAAAACGCCGGAGCAGCTTTTCCAGGCAGACGTTCTTGGTGACTTAATGAGTCAGACACACGGTCACTTAGCTGCTCAGTTTCTCACCTGATTGGTCAGCTCATCCCTCATTAAGGCTACTTGTTTACTTAAAGAGGCTGAGTCAGTCGTTTCTAGGTTCAGTCGCTCTGATCGTCAGTCCACAGTAGGATGTTTTGTCTTGTTGCTGATCAGAAACAAAAAACCTTCAGAGCTTTACCCCCTGCTTTCCCAAGGCCTGGGGGTTTTGAGGGTTTGGCATTGTGTTTAAACTGTGTCCAGGACCGTGTTGGTCTGGACCAAGATATCAGATGTCATATCCGTAATTGGCCGCAGCTCTTTAGACCACGTGTGGCACATGGCCTGCGGTGTGCTTTTTTTTTTTCCATGCGTCTTTTCTATCTTCTCATGTTTCTCCCCTTCATCTTGTTACATCTGTCACTACAGTGTCAGGTTGGTTAACCAGCTGCTGTCTCTACGATGCGATGCCGCTACAAACCTGCTGCTGTTTTTCTGACGTCAAATTGTCATTGTTTTTCTTTTCAACCAAATTTCACAACCGAATCTATTTATTTTACTAAGTCCGTGGTGAAATGATCAAATTAGTCATTGCCGCTGAAGCCTCTTTAGGACAATAAAATGTTGACACTGATTGAATCCACAGCTTCTTCGCCCGGTCACCAGTCAAACTTTTGAACATCCAGGTCACTGTTCTTGCCACCTTGGTATGACTCAAACAGCTTTCTGCTTCATTCATCTTCCAACGCTGAATCCTTTACAAGGTCGGTGAGGGGGCGGGAGCCAATCCCGACAGCAACAAGCGAGGGTGGGGTACACCTTGGGGTCCAGGTCCATCAAAGGACCACATGTAGAGACAAAAGACTGTAAACGCCCACACTAATCTCTATGGTCAAGTCAGAGTGGGCAGATGACCAAATTACACCAGCAGTTTTTACTGGGAATCAAACCGGTGATGTTCTTACTGTAAGACAGTGGTTCTCAATTATTTTCTGTCATGCCCCCCCGGAAATATTTTCAGGCCCCCCACCCCTGCGAGTTGCTGCCCCCTAGTGACTGGAGCCTTGTTATCATTTAAGCATTATAGCAGTGGTACATGCACCAACATTTGTTCCACTGTATCCCACTGTGGCCCAGTACCAAATGACCTAGGGACCGGCACCGGTCCCTAGACCAGGGGTTGGGAACCCCTGATATAGATACAATGGAAATATAAAGAAGTAGATTTGAAAGATTGAGAGAAAAAGATTGAGAGACGGTTTGATAGATAGATGGATATTTGATCTGTTTCATCTGTTCCGTTTCACTTTTCCATTTTATTTTTTTAGTCATGGTAGTTGGTTGAGACTTGGATTATTGTGGTTTTATCCTGGACCTTCACTCTCATGCCCCTACCCCCACCCGCACCCCCCGGCCCCTCCTCCAGCCCAGTCCACCTTGTTTAACCTATT